TTGGTCGATTTTTTATTAAGGGTCGCAACGAGTTATACGATCGACCAAACCCATATTATAAGAGGTCGACCAAACATAATATTAGAAGGGGTCGACCAAAACCAAAATAATAATATTTGAGCATATGTCGATTTTGAAATATTCTTTCCCTCTAGTTGTTTTACAGAATTTATGTTCTTCATATGTATTCTTATAAGAATAGACTTATACGGAGTAAAAATTCATTAATTATTTTAAAAAAATTTCCAACCATAATAAATGAGACAGTGAATTGGGACGGTAAATAGTAATTGAAAAGATTTGATGTGACTGAGGCAGGTTATATCGAACGGTGGATAAAGGCCCTTCTTATAATCTCCGTAAAAATAAGTATTGGGATATGGGTTTCCCTGCATGCGTTTAGACTACCCGAATTCAATTCCAAACTGTAAAGTTTTCTGTCCCATCTTATCTCTTGCTCAGTCATATTTTTTGCAATAATACTCCAATGGGATTAGTTTGATCGACCTAACCCACTAATAGACTTGGTCGATTTTTTATTAAGGGTCGCAACGAGTTATACGATCGACCAAATCCATATTATAAGAGGTCGACCAAACATAATATTAGAATGGGTCGACCAAAACCAAAATAATAATATTTGAGCATATGTCGCTTTTGAAATATTCTTTCCCTCTAGTTGTTTTACAGAATTTATGTTCTTCATATGTATTCTTATAAGAATAGACTTATACGGAGTAAAAATTCATTAATTATTTTAAAAAATTTTCCAACCATAATAAATGGGACAGTGAATTGGGACGGTAAATAGTAATTGAAAAGATTTGATGTGACTGAGGCAGGTTATATCGAACGGTGGATAAAGGCCCTTCTTATAATCTCCGTAAAAATAATTATTTGGATATGAGTTTCCCTGCATGCGTTTAGACTACCCGAATTCAATGCTAAACCGTTCAAAGTCATTGCACCAAGAACCGTTCAATGCCAAAGCCTTCTTTCACCAAGTACCAATGGTTATCCCCCTTATAAATTCTAAATCATTGCACCATCCTATACTCAATCCATCCACAAATCCGGTTGTTCTCCAATCCTTTCACCCATCATATTCTCAAATCCGGTTATTTATCCTTAAAATTTCTCACCTTTATATTACAATGTATTGGGAGTAATGGTTCTTTCATTTACGTGGTTATTTAGTAAAGAGCGTAATGGATTTCTCGTGTTAATAAAAAGAGCATAATGGATTTCTCGCGATCCATTATGTTCTTTTTGCCAATCTTAGGGGGGCTGTGGAGGAGGAGGCACAACGAGTACAGAGCTGACATGGTGGAGGCTCTGAGCTCAAGTGGTGAGTCGAAGAATGTGCTCCTCACTACAGAGTCCAGTGTTGGATTATGTTATCACAGTCCATCTGTATTATACCCACCCTGGGAGGGTTGACTTCTGGACTTTATAATACAGATGGACTGTAAATAAAAATAATAAAACTATCAAAGGATCAAGTACTACAGACCTACCATGGAAGGGGCTTTAGCTCAAGTGGACCATTTCTCGATTTGTGCGTGTCATCCTTGCGCAGGGGCCATGCTAATCTTCTCTGTATTGTTCCAAAGAATATGCACATTCACACTACGGTGAATAGAAGTCTACATTTTGTGATGGACACACATAACGAGTTCCATTTGTGTTTTGTTCTTTTACTTATTGTTGCCGAATGTTAAACAATGTACAACGAAGTTAATTTCTGTTCTGTTTCTTTAATTCATTTATATGATCATCTTTAGTACATTGGAATCAAGGTTGTTTTCATATATTCACTTTGATTGTTAAACAATTTGATACAGAGTACAACATGACACGTCGAATGCTAAATTTCATCACTTAATAATACAACATTACACTAGTTCTTACAATATCCGGGAAAAAAAGTTTTAAAAGTTGACAAAGGGGGAAATTTATTCTGATCTTAACTCAAACCATTCCTCATCACTCTTCGTCACTCATATCAGGGGAAGATCCAGAACCAAGGTCACTCACTGATAATCCTAGGATTTTTGCCAAAGCTTCCACCCTCGCTTCCAAATTTTGTATGATTTCCATCCAATTTTGAGACCCGTTCTGTAGTTCT